TCAACGGAACGCCACGGCTGCTAGTCAAGCTCGGCGCAGCTAGGATCCATTTTCCTGTTCTTCGCAGAGATACACACCCCAACCGTAGACGTACGCATTTCTAGTCACCACCTCTCTGTTGCCTGTAAACTCTGTTGGTTCAGGTTGGGAACTGGTTGGTCGAACTTGGCCCTTTTGTCTGCCCTCTGTTCATCTCAAACCACTCTGAGTAACTTTCTGAACCCTGCCCACTGCAGATTTCGGATCCCTCCAGACAATGCGTGTCTTGGAATGTGCTGGCATACTTCATTGGCCCGGGGAAGTGAGGCGCTCTGCATAACAAGCGAATATGGGGAATGGAAGGGCGATCCCTCTTGATCAGAGATGATGAAGGGAGAGACCGAAGAGGGGATCCTTCCGCGGGTCAGCCGAAAACTTTGACTTGCTCAGCTCCTCTAGGCGGCAGGCTGTCGGATCCGTGTGTCGAGATCTGCCATTTGGTGCTGGTTGGCTAATATAGAGAAAGGTCGTATTTCGTCTTGGTGCTATTAATCCGCACGAAACGAGAAAGTCTTGGGCAGCAAAAAGATTTCGGTACGGAGCATAGAACATTAAAAGATTTCCCGATTCCCATAAGGCTGCGATGGGACCTGTTGCCTCTTCTCCGGATTTCCTCTTCCACTGGTGATCTTAGTCCCAGTCGCTCCGTCCCGACTGCCTGCCGCAAAACTTTAGTCCGAGTCTTTTGCGCGTTCTTGCAACTAATCGACCTTTCCGAAGCGGATCCCGTCAAAGATCTGGCCGGCCGAGATGCCATTTCATCTACTACCTCGAGGCGCGCCGCCGCATCCCGATGTTTTGACGATACCCACACCTCCACTCCAGGAGACTGCAATCATCATCATTTTCTTCTTTCCAGCTCTATCGATTTGCACCTTTGGCCTGCGGGCATACGGTCGGATAAGCACGCGTCAATGGGGACTAGGTATGATGTCAGCATAACTTCGTTGTTGCTTGAAGCTTACCATAGACTATTTCTTAGATGACTGGCTATGTGGCTTAGCCTTGGTACGAACATAAGGGGGTGATTTTGGGTGAAGATGTAGCTAATGGTTAAACAGCTCTTTGCAGTCTTAATGACACCTCCTCTGTTCATGTGTAAGTAGAACTATGTTTAAGAAATGACCACCCCGCCAGCAAGCTGACACTGCCGGAACTCAGTTGTCAAACTCAATTATTTCGGATGGAGAGCTGTAAATGTCCCCAAGGATTTCGATAACAAGGCCGGGCTGTGGTGGAACTTCTTGGTACAGATGGCCTACAATCCAGTGCTCGCTTTGGTCAAAGCATCGGTATTGGTATTTCTTCTTCGACTAGGAGGCCAAAAGCGAGGCGTCCGAACCGCTATCATCGGACTCAACATTTTCAACGCATGCCACGCAGTCGCCGTATTCTTTACCGCCTTATTCCAATGCCTACCTATGGAAGCCAACTGGGACTTTTCTCTGCGAGGCCAGCCAGGCACAAAATGCGTCGACAACTCGTTTCACGTCATTGCATCTTGTATCACGATCGTCTCGGACCTTCTGGTACTCGCCTTGCCCTTTTGGATATTTCTCGGGCTCAAAATGCCCTTGGCGGCCAAAATGGCAGTCATTGGGGTTTTCCTTATGGGTCTTGTGTAAGTGATAATTTCAAGTGACAATAACCCTTGGTCAAAGCTGATTACGTTCGGATTAATAGAGTAACGGTTGTTGCTGTCATCCGAGTCATCCAGATCTACAAGCTATTCTTCGTCCCATCACCTCCAGGAACCGATCACTTCCACAACATTGGCCTTGTGAGCTCTACCGTTGAGGTTAATCTAGCCATTTTCTGTGCCTGTATTCCTGCATTGCGCCCTCTATTCCGCCGATGGATGCCGAAGCTGTTCGGCGGCACGACGAAGAAGACGACCGGTAAAGGATACTACGGGAAATACGCGACCGGCTCATTGCGAAATCCAACTGGGGTGCAAGAGAGCAACGATATTACACTCAAAGAGATGCGCTCAAGAGCGCACTGCACGGAAATACGCAGTGTCTCTCCATCGGGTTCTGAAGAGGAAATCATGACATACAACGGAATCGTCAGAACCACAAACGTCAACGTCCAGTACGAATCCAACACCAGCGTAAACGATTTGGAATCTCGACACTCAAGCGAGTACAAAACGATCGACAAACCAACGAAGGGGACAGCTTTCTGAAGACGGTGCTTGAAACTTTAATCGGTGTTCTTGGGCGTTGTGGATCGCGGGACATCCCGCCAGGGTTTCAATAATACCACTTTTTGGATCTGCCGGGTGCGAGCAAGGAACCATTTACTAGTCCGCACCATGCACGGCTGCAGTTCGCTGCCATTTTTTGCACGTTTATACTGAATACCTTGGATACCCTTCTATAATCTCACTTTGCTTTACTGTTGATCTGCTGAGATTCAAGACGCCATCGATGATCGTGTGATCTTGCCTATCAGTGGACCTGAATCTCTCGGCGGTCTACTCCGCAAAAACCTGACTGAATCATAGTGCGTGAGTGCATGATATGAGTTCGTTCTCCCTTGCCAAAGAGGTACGGAGTCCGACTCCATTCCCTCCCGACTACAACTCTAATTCTCGATTTCTCAGTGGTTGTGCCCTTGCCCATCCTGGCTTTTCTTATTAGGTCGAAACTCAACTACATGATGCGGGCTTGGCGTCGGTGCCTTCGAACGCTTAGTGGAGGGATTGGTACAGGGTCTACGCGTTGTCTCCATCCTTTGCGATCCCCTTATGTGCAGTCAGCGATTTTATGAAAACTTACAGAGTGTATTTGGGTAGCACTTAGCCCGCAGGCAGGGCTAGGAGCTACATGGTCACGGCAGAAGGGTTTCCAACGAAGGTTTGAATAACACTAGAGAAGACGTGATAGAACCAGACTGTCACACACTGGCTGAGATTTGAGGAGTTCTTAGAAAGAGGTCTTCACCTGAATCGTAGTCTCTGGCTAGTCACCTTCCCACAATGGAGCGATTTTCTTCTCGTCAAGAAAGACGCGCTTTCGGCCCCATCCCGCCCAACTCAGAGAAAATGAGGCGATGGAGATTCCGCAAGTGAGACTCCTTCTGGCAGTGATTGACATGGACATGGACAGAGGGTCCTTGTCAAGTGTCGGCCCAAGGAATTAGCCAATTTTGACAGGCAATGACAGCCCGCGACGGGCCCAGGACCCCGACACTACTACGTAGAAGAGCCGGCCCCGCTGTGGTCTGACACGACTAGCGGTGCAGAGAACCTAGATCCTGGGATTATGGGAAATGGAACTCCCCTGCCTGCCGAATGTTCTTCGGACTGGCCACCTATTTTCTGCTGCCCAGGTGGGCGGGCGCCGACGTGGGCAGACGCTCGGTGCCATTGGGCTTTGGAGAAAGAAGGGATACTACGACGGGGTCGACGGAGACCAGGGTAATTTTAACCTTGTTCAGACGAACTATTCCGTGCGGAAACTTGACAGGTTGACCGTGATGCTTCGGGCGCCCGCATCTCGCGGTTTCAATGTTGCGTGGACTGCTGAAACCTGCCAGTACTAACACGACCAAACGTCCGGAAGCCTATTGGGCCTCACAAGCATCCAGCCAAAGAGACAACAGCATGCGTAGTCCGCTCCGGTGTGCAGCTGCCGAAATTCAAACCTGCAGTTGGGGATCGATAGTCTCCATTTTCCGTACAACTTGCAAGGTTGGGATGCAGGCCAAGGCCGCTGATCTTTCCCTCTGTTCCCTTCCCACGGATTCGTGGAGATCGGTCCAGAGACTTCGAACTTGACCGCTGAATGGCTTTTGCATTTGCGATGCCCAGAAGCACAGGACTCAGGGCAGATCAGAATGCGAAGCGAATAGGCTTTTGTTGATCTTTGCTTGGCTTGATCAGCGTCTCAAGGACATCGAACTGAAGCTTTGGTTATGCGACCCGGGATACATGGGCTTTATCCATCGATTTCTAACTGAAAAGTCTATCCCCGCACAATTGAGATCTTGACTGATAGAACTCAAGGGCCTGTAGCCGCGTTGGCTGATGGATCCCCAATTACCTTCCCGCGAGCGAGATAGAGAATTTCTGCATTCTCCAACTTGTCATACTTTAGCAGAAGAGAAAAAACCAAAATCTCTTCCTGATAAACGGGGTCCGTAAAGCAGACAAACCTATGGGTAAATAGGTGTGTCATCCATGATGTGCCGATGTTTTACGATACAAAAGCGTTCTACAGCCGGATCTTTCCCATATCAGCATCGACGATCAACTCCAAGGACCGTCTCGCTGATGCCCATATGAGTCTCGAATATACAAAAGTAATTTGACATTGAGCAATCCAGACCTCAAACGTACTTCTGCATGCAGGCTTAGACGTGATCATAGTCCGTAGAAAATAGCACCGTTGTCTCCAGTCTCTAGAGCAGTAATCTCCACATGATGATTCGCTGTTATGTCTTGTCGTGCGGCTGAAAATAAAATAGAAACTCCCAGAATCATACGAGACGCCAGAAGATGTCTCACTCGTACTTGAACCAAACAGATGGCACGATTGCTACCTATCCGATTAGGTGAACGTTTCTAGGTTCTTTTTCTCAATTTTCACTCCATACTACCTTGTTGTACAAGATATGTATTAAATAACCGCAAACGCAAAATGGCTGCCAGTCAAGTTAACTTTGCCTGGTGTCTACTGTTGTGGCGCCTCGAGGACCTCCGGATGCAGGCAAGTTCAACCGCCACATTCCTCTCAATCAGTATCGACTGATATTCTCGCGGGACCAGCCGAAAGCTACTGAATTTGCGCATTCCTGCGGTATTGTTTTGATGGTTTCGTTTCCGCTCTAGGAATAAGCCTACAATCTGTCCCACGTGGAAAGGAAGATGTCGGAAATTTAAGAGGACGGGTCTCCTCGAGAGAAAATCAATTACACCACTAGTGTCTGTAATTCTAGTACCTATCCTGATCACAATGCGTCTTCTTGCTTCAGTATCAACTTTACTCACTGCTCTTGCAGCGGTGACCACTGGGTCATTTCTATCTCCTAGAAAAGAGATAGCATTGTGTCTCTGCGAAGACGAAGCATGGGATATCACAAGACGATGGCTCAGCGTCTTCTCAACCCCTGGCGTTTCTAGCAAGGCGGAGCTAGCGACCATCGTTTCTCAAAATCTCACGAGCTACGACGACGCATTTGGGCCTCCAACTATCGGCATCGATGGACTCTGGGCCGCCCTGACAGCACCTGGCAACGCGACGACAGCCAACGTGACGCAGACGCCTAACTTTATGCTACATACATGCGACCAGATTGCGTACAACTGGCAGTACACCGCCGTTACAAATGGTTATAACTCGTGAGTCTGGTGCTTATGAGCCGAGGAGAGAACAGATGGTTAACATTGCTTCAAGAACGGTACCGGCTGGAACTCCAGTTGCGTTTACCGGAAATGATATCGTCCGAATTGATCTGGCGACAAGGCTGATATCTAATGCCACTTCCGTTGGAAATTGGATTGTACTTGCCCAGCAACTGGGAGAATCATGTACGGTCTCATGAATCCTTCTAATCTCTGTCAAATGGCCCGTATATCATCTATATTGCGAGTCTAATTCAGCTACACTCGATGCCAACTTACCTGAAGTAGCTTGAATCTTGCAGAGCAACATGGAAATAAACTTTCATCTAATCAGACCCTGAAACAATCCTGTTTTATCTGAGATATATGCATGTCGTGAATGGAAACTAGGCTAAGTTCCTAGGAAGTGAAATTGTCCACTGGCACTGAATGACCCAGTATTGCCTTGATTCACCAACACCGAGTTGCTGAGGTATGAACTAAACCAAGTATAAAGCATTAATTCATGACCACACTCATGCGGCCCTAAGAAAGGGCATCAATCATTTCTAACCCAACAAGAACAATGAGCGCACGACCACCCAATTACCCTGGCTTAGGCTACGAGAATGATGACACTCCTCGCCGTCCTCCTCAACACCGCCAGCCTGACGATCCACCCCCTCCTGCTTATGAAGAAGTGCAGTTCTCTCCTACCCAAGATGAGTATCGGCGGGTCCCAATCATAGAATCGGTAACATTTGGCTTGTCAACATGGCCGGATAGTGCAGCACCATATATGGCACTTAACAAACACTGGCCGTCAAACCCGGAAAGGAAGAGAATGGACATGGTATATAAGATCCGCTACGGCACCAAGATGTGCGAGTTCATCCTTTACTGGTACCCGCCTCCAGTCTCACGGTTTCCGGACAGTCGAAGAAGACGGGCGGAGCAGAGATATCTAGAGCACTTTGAGGATCTGTGGATGGAGTCTCCGACCCCTGAGGCTTCTCCTCACTTCCTCCCAGTGCTCAGACAGCTTGACGCGGCGATTATCCACACTATGATGTCGCAAGAAATTCACTTGGAACAGTCAGATAGGCCCTGGAAGTGCCAGATCATTGACCAATTTGAAGACCCACACCCCCCAATGCATGCCATGGTATGGACCGAAGGGTGGGCTGACTATCGTCACCAGGAGGTTCTGGCGGTTGCAGTATACAATGGGTCGGACGTCCATGTCATCCACGAGGACAGGCCTGGTCAGTGAGGCCAACACATAGTATGAGTAGGCGAGGAACAATAAGTTACTCCCAGTAGTGATCCACAGTCTAAGGCAGTTCAATAGAAAGCGTAGCAGGGTAGCATGAAGTTGCAAGAAGCTCTGCTCATCTGAGCCCAAACCCCGAGGTCTCCAGCCGTATCAATGAAGAACATGACCATGGAACGTGGATCAAAGCTGAATTGTGACGAATGGATCCGTAAGAAAATTGCTTGTATATATATAACTGATAAACCATAACGCCATATACGCTGAGTATGCTAATTGATGCAATTCTCATTACCTGGCTAGACTAGCCCATGCCTCCTAATATTAAACCCTCAACTCCCTGCATATCGCCTCAGAAGATGGGCGAGTCAGTCTCATCTACAATCTGAACCTTGATGCTACCATTTCTGTAGTCTGACGCGAGGGTAAGGGCGTCGACTGCCTTCTCGAGAGGGAAAGTGTGAGAAATGAGGCTCTTGAGGTCGAGGATGCCGCTGCTCAGGCAGGCGATGCCCGCAGGCCACGTGTCGCGGTATCTGTTGATGAACTCGAGCTTGATCTAGAGAGATCCTGTTAGTCCCCAGCTCTGGTTCAAGTCTGTATGCATGTCGACCTACCTCGGCAAGAGAAATGTGCATAAATGGCAAGTTGTTCATAATCTCCCTTCCAACACCAATAACCATAACCGTACCACCACGACGAACAGTGAAAGCGGCAGTGCAGATGCTGCTCTCGACACCGGTGCACTCAAGCACCGTTCTGGGCGCGCTGTACTCGTCGTCGCCAAACAGCTTGCGAATAGCCTTGCCGTTGCCCTCGTTGCCAAGCGCGGGGTCAATCTTGTACGTAATGACACTCGGGACCAGCGTCTTGGCGAAGGCGAGGCGGGAGGGCTCAATGTCGGTGATGACGAGCGGGTGAGCGCCCGAGGCCCGCGCCGCGGCGAGGGTGACAAGGCCGATGGGGCCTGCACCGCATACGACAGCGCCGACGCCGAGAGAGAGGCCTGCGGTGCGGATGCCGTGCATGCCAACGCTCAAGGGTTCGAGGAGGGCGCCTTCGGCGTAGGAGATGTTGTCGGGGAGCCTAAACAGGGTCCGGGTTTAGGTACATGTCTACATATATCCAATTGAGTTTTTCTTAGAGGGTAAGCTCGACTTACTTGTGAAGCCACTTGGCCGGGTGGCACTTGTATCGCTGGATCGTGCCATGGTATGGGTAAACGCCAGAGAACTGGACATCTTCGCAGAGGTTGTATCGTCCGTCGACGCAGAGGAAGCATTCGCCACAGGGCACGCCTGGTTCGATCGCGACGCGGTCTCCCGCCTTGAGGTTCTTGACGCCCTCGCCAACGCGGATGACGACACCTGCTGCCTCGTGGCCGATGATGCAGTCTCCCTCGAACACAAGCGTTCCGATGCGGCCCGTCTTCCAGAAGTGGATGTCAGACCTGCAGAGCGTCTCGAAAGTCAGCGTTTGCCTCCATGATCTTTCGCAAAGTAAGGCTGAGCTCTGTCGAACTGAGGCGGGTTGCGTGTTCGACGCATTTGAACGAGACTAGAAAGACTTACCCGCACACTCCGGTAGCCTTGACGTGGACCAATGCCTCTCCCGCCTTTGGTGCGAGAACGGGCGCTTCCTCTGCCTTGAGCTGGTGATCGGCTGTGACTACCAGCGAAGGGTTCGGTAGCGGCGCCCGGATGGTTTCTTGGTTGGCACTGACCGCGGTAGGCTCGTGGTGATGGTGGTGGTCGTGTTGCTTCAATTCTGTTACAACGACAACGCCATTGGACTTTGCGGGCGCTATGCCATTGACAGGCGCCTCTGGCGATATCGTGGTAGCGACCATCTTGCAGGTGGTTGGCCTCCGGGAATAAAATGCAAGGGAGATGACAGTGACTTAGAGGAACGACTGCTTTTACAAGTATATGGACAACTGCTAGCAATGTCGAAACGATGTAGTTGGGATCAACACGGAAGAGAGAAACAAATGTTTAAGGACAGTCGCTGGAAGAAACGTGATGTGAAAGGGGAAACGGCTAGACATCTCAATTTGACAGGATTCGTTGAGGAAGCGCTTTTAGTCTATAACCCTCTATGCGTCCTGTCCCGTCAAACAATTATTATTTTTTTCATCGTCGTGTGATACCCCTCTGCCGGTAACAATGTCCGAATTTCCAACAGCTCAACCTAGCTAAGGGTCTGGGCAACATGCGGGGAACCGACCGAGCGACTAAGAATGCCTCTTCTGTCGCGCCTTGGTCAAGTGATTGCCTGATTTGGATATGTTAAGCACCGCCCGGCAGTTCTAGATCGTTGCGCCGGGGAACATGCCGGCTGTGCGAGTTCGTCCAGATGGTTGACTCTGGACTACCTATGGGAAGCGGTTGGGTTTGTCACCCCGAAGCCGCCGAGTTCCGAGCCGGCATCGATGCGGGTTCGGCGACAGACAGCACGGCCAATTCGACGCAATCGCGGCAGTATCAGAGCCTAGACTTGAAGATGACGAGCAAGTGCATTCACTCTTGTTGTTGGAATGGATACTTGTCGCTCATCAGACACAGGCACAAGAGAATACGAACGAGGGCATGAGAGTTGGGCAAAATTGTTTTCATTAATTCGTAGCAGGTTCTATGACTACCAATCCCGTCAAGGTTCCTTTTATCCAGATCCATATAATACCGCAACTCTCATCTCAGACTTCGTTTATGCGAAGATGCGCAGAGGGCGCTGGGGCAGGTAGAACCCAGGGTCGTTGAAGCGGAGACCACGGTCAAGGTCAGAGATGGACTCGATCTCCTCGGCAGTCAGGTCAAAGCCGTTGACCTCGAGGTTCTGCTTCAGGCGGTGCTGGCTGTTGCTCTTGGGAATGACAGCGACGCCGCGCTGGGTAGCCCAGCGCAGCAGGACCTGCGCGGGGGTGACCTTGTACTTGTCCGCGATCGCCTTAATGGCATCGACCTCAAAGAGGCCCTGAGCGCCGGTGGCGCGCTTGTTGGAGATCTCGAGGAAGGACTGGGGGCCAAAGGAGGAGTAGGCCGTGACGGCGATCTTGTTCTCCTGGGCCATGGAGATGAGGTCGGGCTGGACGAGGTACGGGTGGTGCTCGATCTGCAGGGCGGAGATGGGGTGGCGGGCGTAGGACTGGATGTCGTAGAGGGACTGGGCCTGGAAGTTGGAGACGCCGATGGACTTTGCGATGCCCTCGTCTGCGATCTGCTCCATGCACTCCCAGGTCTCGCGGATGGGGACGTTGTCAGGCTCGACGATGGTCTGCGCGGCGTCCATCCACCAGCACTTGGGGTCTCCAAGTCAGCAAATCTTTGGTTGAAAACGATGATGGCATTCATGAACTTACGGGGTACTCGAGCTTGGAGGGCTCAATGTACTTGAGGGCAACAGGGAAGTGAATGAGGAACAGGTCAATGTAGCCCAGGCCCCAGGTCTCGTTCTGCTTCTTTGCCATGGCGACGGCATGCTCCTTGCGGTGGTAGTTGTTCCACAGCTTGGTGGTGATGAAGATGTCCTCACGCTTCACCAGACCGTCGGCGATGGCGCGGCGAACACCCTCGCCGGCCTCCTTCTCATTCTGATAGTCGTAGGCGCCATCGAAGAGGCGGTAACCGGTCTTGATAGCCTAATTGATTACAGTCACGGATTAGAAAACATGTTCACTTGTGCGTAGAGCTGAGCGCTTGGATGAAACTCACGTTGTAGACGGTATCGGCGCAGGTCTCGCGGGGAACCTTCCACAGACCGAAGCCCACGAGGGGCATCTCACGGCCGGAAGCGAGAGTGATGGTGTCCTTGCCCATTATGAAGATTTTGGAAAGGGGGTATAGATACTAGAGTGACAGGAAGAGAAGTTGCGTGATGTATGAGATGAGGTTGCTCTAGAATGACGAGCTTTGAGTTCTAATATTCTCTGTGACAAGATTCTACTTTTCTTTTTCTTGCGTTTAACCCCGCCCTCAGTCAAGAAGCGCACACAACCCCGCCTCCGTCAGTAGAGCACCCATCCCTCCGGCTGTTCTTCTGAGCATCATCATGGAGGGGTTGAGACTGAGAGGCAAGGTGGTAGAGCCTACCGGATGTGGCAATCTTAAACACTGATGATTCAGAAAAGGGCATGTATCCCCGCGCTTAGCGTCCCCCGGTTTGACTCGTGTTCGACTGGGTTCCACGAGGGGTTAGAAGCCCGCTTCAAGGAGATGAGCTTCTCTGCCGTCCACCTCATAGTGAATGGGGATTGTGAGCTGAGTGTCTAGTGGTTATTAGTATACAGATCAAGAGAAGTATACACGGATCGTATCGGAAGATCTCCGGCTAGAGTAAATCTCAGATTTAAGACTCGTCGCGTATTTACCGCAGACTTACTGAACATCGTCTCACCCGCCAAAGCATGAGAATCATCCCATCAGTGATCAAGCCCCACGGGTAATATCCACAAACAGCATTGTCCCTGCAAACACTTATCCCGAACCGCACTCGCGTCAACTAAGCCCCGACTTGTCGCTGTAAACCCGTCCTTCCCCTGTTCCACACACACCAACTTTCTCCAGAGACTCCAGCAAAGCTCTTTCTTCCCCGTCCATGCTCCCAGAGTTCCTGGAGTCGAGCCCGTACCTCGGGAAACCCTCCACTATTTGTTGGGGACCTTTTCCGCCTTCCCAATCCGACAAGATTATCCCCTCCAGCCGCCGTTGTCCGTTCTTCAGCCATGGGCACACAACAAGCACCCCAAACATAGCAGCCGGTTGCGATAATGACGGATGATACGGATGCAGTATCAGCAAGCGGCTCTGGAGCAGGAGCAGGAGGTTCGAAACAGAGGCACAAGAGGACGCGGACGGGGTGTATGAAATGTCGGGTCCGACGCCGCAAATGTAAGCCTCTCTCACTTTCTCCATGTCTCTTTTTGTAATGCTCGTAAATGTTGTTCAAGACCCACTGAGATGTTATCTCACCGAGCAGAGCTGGCATGACGTCGCATGACACTG